AATGCAGGGATGAAAAAGTGTGTGCATGCATGCAGCAAGGAAACATTCATACATGCCATCACTCCCAGAAGGGTTGCTTTCGTCTCTAGTGGGTGATAAGAATGCTAACCCTCGACGGTTCATAATGGATTAGAAGCGCCTTGATTGTGAGTCAATTTTCTCTGAGCTGTAAGCCTTAATGTCAGTTTTCAGCACGACTGCTTTGCTTTTAATGGTTCCTGCTTGCTTTTTGAATTAAAGGATGGAATATCTAAAAGGAAAAAATTCAATGGACACATCACCTCACAGTCTACTGTTGCAGAAGTGTCTACGTGCATATACATCTGCATTTGTGGGTGTCTTTGTGTGCATTAAGCCTTGGAACAGAGTGAACAAAACATTGGGTTGTATAAAGCTTCAGTAATGTATTTTCTACAATCCAGGCACTCCACAGCTCTCGCTTCTGTCTATTCAACTGTCACAGCTGACAGGCTGACAAATTACATTTTGCATTCCTCTACAGTTCAAACTTTACATAAATGTCTGGAGGCTGAAGTTATGAAAGATTATGAGTGTGTGGCTGCAGTGCTTTGGCAGATTTGATCTGTGAAGACTTGTATGAAGTCAGTTTTCCCTTATACAATGTTTTTTTTTCTCTCTCTCTTGGACTTTTTACTGGACACAGGAATAAATTGACATGTCATACCTAGATCCAAAGCCTCTATCCTAACCTTTTATTTAGGCCCTGCTGTGTCATTAACAGGTGATGCTCAGTGCCAATTTATTCCCTTAGACTAACTTACCCATTCCCTCAGTTGTAGGCTACCACGTGATAATTTCACTTCGTGGTCCATTGACCATGCATGATCGTGCTTGGATGGCAATCACAAGTCAAAGGCAAGCAGTCTGCACCTCACAGGTATCAAATTAATTGATGGCTCATTGTAGGCTGAACTCAACTATCAGTAACTACCATTAACTAGAAAAATTTAAAAAATGACAAACCTGATTCCAATTCTAAAACCGATGTGGATTATTATTGTTGTTATTATGATTATCATTATTATTGTACTTGGATTTATATATATTTTTAGTGGAAATGTTTAACGTAAGGTATATAGAAAGTCTAAGACAAAATTCAAAATCAATTTAATCCTATCGGGGTCAAAAAAAAAAAATATATATATATGTGTGTGTGTGTGTGTGTGTGTGTGTGTGTGTGTGTATACATATATTTGTATGTATATATACATATATATATATATATTTAGATCACTTTAATAACATATTACTTTGTTTTGGTAATTCTGCATCTAAACATGAATGGGATGAATTTGCGGCCCTTAATTTATGACTCAGAAAAAAGTTATCAGAGCCATACTTTAAAAAAAAAAAAAAACTATTCACATGAGCTTGGTTAATACTGCATGCTGTGCACATAACTGGAAAATCTGTAGCTATCTGACATAATTTTAGTTAAACTGTTTTGGTTTCTTCTTGTGGTCCATTATATATTATCTACCACTAAAATTTCAGTAGTTATTAACTGTTTACAACTAAACAGTTCATGTGGAGAGGCAGAGGGGCCAGAATACAATGCAATCATGCAATCAGGGCTCATGATGTTGGTCATCTGACAGAAATATCTGCATGGAAATGAAAATAACGATCTGCCAGGAGATGCCATTCACACTTGGCAAGTTTATAATCAAACTGTTATGATTGGTAACCCACAGAAAATGACTTCCTGGCCAAGAGTCCGTAATAGCTCAACATACTGGCAGTCCCACCTAGAAACATATTATCATCATCAGACAATGATGATGGTGGGAACTTTGATTTCCTGCCACACATGAAGCAATTGTGGACATTATTTGTTTGGAGGTGAATCCAATATTCTCCCCCTTATGGCTCTGTTTTTGGTCTCAATCATTTCTCTTAAAATCCCACCCCGTGTTATCATATTATACACTAACACTTTTCTTACTGTGCACTCAGTGATTTATCGGCTTGCACTCTATGTCTTCCTGCCGACAAGAATAATGAACATTTTCATTGTCTTATTTCCCTGTAGAGCCTGACTCAGACTGTAGCTAGACAAGCTGTTTATGGCATGCAATGATCAACACCTGTGAAAAAAAATCCTTTTATTGTGGAATTACACACTTCCCACACACATAAAAGCAATATTGCTCATGCTTAACACATTCCACCGGTGTGTCAAAAAATGTAAAAATGTGTAATGGCATATTATAGCAGAAGCAGTCATCCTTGTTGCAGGGCATATTGCTCAGAGGACATACTGTGAAAGTTATGCATATCAGTGCCTGAGCTCTTACCTTGCTTTGCTCGTTACGCCAGCTGTTGGATCCAATTAAGAGGCCATTTCAAACCTTTTACTAACCTTATTTAAACTCAACTTACAGAGTCACAAATTTTCAACTCTGGCACGTCCTTGTTTGTTCTGCAATTTCAAACACAGGCACGTCCTTTTCTGTTCTGCCATATGTCACAACTATGCTCTTGTTGTCTGGGGACAAACTTTATTCTTTATGAGGCCATATCCCTCCTACGTCTATTCAACCCACTCTTAGTGTCTCTAAATGCAGGAAATCCACCTTTTAATAGCATCATTGCTTGTCCTTATCAACACGGTTATGGAATAATGTTTTCTCTCACACGTATTTTTCTTATGTGTGTGGCTGTTTTTTTGTTTGTTTTTTTCCCCAGTCCAGGATTGACTTTGGGTGTAACACTGAGATTAACTGGCTGCTATGAGAGTTATGGTTTTTGTACCCCTGAAGTCATTCAAAGGCGATTCAAATAGCTCTGTCAATTGTCCAAGCTGAAGTATTTTAAGACACTGTGGATAACGAGGGGACCTACAGTATGTAAAAAGAAGAAATACAGACTTACAAGGTTTTACTGTCTCCATTTGACATACGTGAAGGAAACGTGTCCAGATTGAATTTTTTAATGAGTTTCCATTTCTTGAGGACTAGTCTGGTTAATCCCCCGTTGATGTAGGCACAAATTTGTTGTTTTAGCACTGCTGTGTAGTCACTTGAGAGGTTCCACTTCCACTAAGACCTGGTTATGTTGAAGCAGCTCCCCAGACCCTTACCATAGTGAGGATTCTATCTTGTCTGACAGAGTTCCGCTCACATGATATTGAAGTGTCTATTAGATGCTCCTCAGTTTTCTTTCATGTCCTCCACCTACTGATTATATACTGAAAGTGGGTAAAAACAGATGAGAAGAACCCTCATTAAGAGACATGAGGGGATGTTTTTTATTTTTATTTTTTTATTTTCTAAAGACGCCAACAATGTTGTGAAGCATCCCATCCCTTAAAATTCTTGTCTTGACCTACAAAACTCTCCATGATTAAACATCATCATATCTAATATATATCCTTGGGTGGGGTAATATTACCCCTCCCAAGGATTGTGGTCCAGGTATGCAGGCCAGCTTGCCATACCTTAAGTCTCTAAAAGTGGTTTGGGGGTAGAACTTCCAGTTATCAGGCCCCTCTTCTCTGAAATCATGGAGGTCTGGGAGGCAGACACCCTCTCTACCTTTATCAGAAGGCCCAAAACTTTCATTTTTGGTAAAGCTTGTAGTTAGGGCTGGTTCAGGTCTGGGCCAGCTTTTAGTTATGCTGCTATGGGTTTAGTTAGGCTGCCATTTTCTCTATCTTTATTTCCCTGTGTCCCCTTGCTAATCCCAACACAGTGGTGGCAGATGATTGTCTAATTGTCTCGTTCCACTCAAGGTTTCTGCCTGTGTAAAGGAAGATTTCCCTCGCCTCTATACTTAGCTAAATGCTACAAAGAGTTTCGCCCAAGGTGGATTAAAATGGGATAAGAGTGGGTCTGATTTCATAAGATGGGAGTTGATATGATCTTATCTTGATGTTGGGTCTTTGCACATAGATGTACTCTAGACCAGATTTTTTGTAGACATATAGCAATTATAAGAATTGGTGCTATACAAAAAAGGATTGATCAATCAACTAGTAGATCCCCAGTTGAGGTAGCACTTCACAGAAGGCACTTGAGTGGCAGCAACTATCCAAGAGAAAGGGGTTTCATCAAGGGTTAAACATCCACCTATGTGCCTCAGTTTAGCACTTTATGGGATTCCAAAACCTCCTCTCATGCTATCAAGTACAAAGAGTTGACCTCTTTTTGATGAACTGAGATTGTACACGACGGGGGAAATACGTAAATCAATCTGAATAGAACACCAGGTTTCTTTCTTTGGATGATGTGTTTGATCCAGAATGTTCCAACCTGTTCCTGGGATATCCCTCCATATCCTCCTCCTGCTGAGGCTTTGATTGACTTGGCGGATACTTATGGCAGGATAGACCTTGATATGACACACACATTTGAGTGAATATCACCGTCGAGTCAAACTCTCACAATGGAGGTTGCACCACCTCAAAGTTCCCCTCGAGCTGTAGCTACATTCATTGGAGGAATCACCTCCAAATCAAGAACCCTTGGGATTTCTCTGTTTGATGTGGTTGACAGCAATTGTTGTAGAAGTCAAATTAGATCATTGTAAATGAAAAGTCAAAAGGTATTTAAAAAATTTAAATTATTTCTGTGTGTGCACATATGCTTAATGAACTCGCACCTTTTTAGCACAAGTCTATACCCTAGTTGAAAGGGCCGTAAATGCTTCTTGCTGGGCATTTACAGCCCTTTTCAGACCAGATACAGCACTGACCAGCTGGCCCCATTACCCCCATGCCACAGAGAGCACAGTGTACACCTTGTGCAGTGTTTGTTTCACACTTGTAATCTCCAAAATCATGTTCCTCTAAGACATATTCAGATGTCTTTGTTTAAGCTCACAAATGTTGTTTCCTCTTTCACTATTAGCTCTAGTGGTGGGCAAAAGCGGTCATTTCAGTGAACCGGATCATTTCGGGTCGTTCAGTAAAAAGACCCGTTCATTTCGTTCTTTTCGGTCATTTGTCAGTCCGCTCGTCCCCCCCCCCCCCCCCCCCGCGCGGTCTGACGCTGTGACCGCTGCACTCTCCACTTCCCACCCCGGTCCAACGCTGCGATCGCACTGCACTACTTGTAATATAAAATTATAGTAGGAGTAACAAAATATATATATATATATACACCTTATATATAAGGTTTTTAATGGTTTTTTATTATTTTGAGGTGCATTAAAAACAATAATAAAAAGTACAAAATGTCAACAGACAGTGCAAATGCATATTAATAGTTGTCTCTCTGCCTCTGGCTGCTGCAGCAGCTGTGTGCCTTTGTGTGTGTGTGACTGTCCCGCTCGCTCCGGCTCGGCTGTCGGGCCTCGTGCGGCGGCGAGTCAACTCGGTCTTTCAGTCAACTCGTTCACCGTCTGGATCTTTCGTTCACTCGGTCTCTCGTTCAACTCGTTCATCCGTCTGGATCTTTCGTTCACTCGGTCTCTCGTTCAACTCGTTCATCCGTCTGGATCTTTCGTTCACTCGGTCTTTCGTTCAACTCGTTCATCGGTCTGGGTCTTTCGTTCAACTCGGTCTTTCGTTCACTCGGTCTTTCGTTCAACTCGTTCATCCGTCTGGATCTTTCGTTCAACTCGGTCTTTCGTTCACTCGGTCTTTCGTTCAACTCGTTCATCCGTCTGGATCTTTCGTTCACTCGGTCTTTCGTTCAACTCGGTCTTTCGTTCATTTGACCCGTTCTTTCAGTCAACTAGGTCTTTCGTTCATTTGACCCGTTCTTTCAGTCAACTCGGTCATTCCGGTCTTTCAGTCAGCTCAGTAGTACTGCTGCTGCTTCTCTAAGCCCCACCCACACACAGAACGAGGCGCGACGATAGGATAAGACAGGCAAGCAGTCCCTCTTCAGCCAATCAAAAGAACTGAATGAATTGAACGGGTCATTTAGGGGGGGGAGAACTAGTTCATTTCGTTCATCAAAAAGAACTAGTTCTTTTGATCCGTTCGTTCAAGACCGACACACCACTAATTAGCTCAAAGGGGATTGGATTTTGGTTTGCACCAACTGTTGTTCTGCTTTCTGTTCAAACTCTCCATGGGCTAAACAAGTTAAATAACACTACCTCTACAGTCTTTGCACCTGAGGTTGTTTACGCAGTACTTATTTGGTGATAAACAGCAAAATGCACACTAACAGAACATACTATTTGTTGGAATCAACACGCAATTTAGTAGCTATGAGGAGTCTTAAAGTCCCATCCAATCTTTTTTTTTTTTTTTTTTACTCCTCAAAGTGTTACCTGTGTCATTTTGAAGGGCTATTCTTCTGCAGAGCTCCACTAGCTCATTAGCAATTCACCTCTGAGTCGTGGGCGGAGACAGCGCTGCTCTGGTGTAGTGCTCCGGTGTAGTAGAAGTGGCTGGTAATATAGGAGGTATTGCGCTCTTGGACAATAATGTCTTTGAGGACATGACAAAAGTTAATATCATAATTTGCTTCCTACGATCATTGCAATCCACTAACACACATGCTTGTTCCACAATTGTCCACTCTACAGGTCCTTACACACTGGGAGCCTTTTTTTCGTGCAATTATTTCTGACGTCAGTATTTTTTTCGAACCCGTATCCTGTCAATTCAAGTGTTCACATCAGTGACGTTTTTCCATCCTGTGACACTACGGCATTTATTTTTTCGTTTCACTGTCCATTTTTCTTAAGTTTTGCATACTGTGTGTCCACTTCTGACCAATCAGATTAAGTGTTTTTGCAACATCTGATTCACCGGTATATCCAACATGGCTGGCCAGCTGATTGTTTATGCTCATAAGCTAACCTGTTCAGATACAACATTCCATATGTATTTTCACTGTCTCAAACTCAATCTCGTTGCTGTCACAGCACCATTAGGTCTTGGTTGTTACCTTACGTTTATGGATTATAGTTCTGGTACTGGCCCCGACTCAGTACATGCTATCATGACAGACAGTCATGTAAACACTAGTGTCTAATCAGAACTGAAAAACAGTCAGTCTTCTCGCTTCCATCCAGAACGCATCTTTTTTCCCCTCAAGAAAATTGCAAAATCGCATAGCGCTTGATGTGTATGGTCAGGCACGTCAAAATTTGCCTCCAAATATTTCGTAATTTCGCGTCATTAGTTTGCGTCGTTCCTGGTGTGTAAGGACCTTGCTTCTCTGAGTCTCGCCTGCATAGTGGGACACAGGGGACGGAGCTTGCAGTTGTGACATATAAAATCTCACTGTGTCTAAACCTGCTGTATGGGTCTGCCAGAGATTCACAGCAATTTGAATGCAGAAATACTCAGAAATGCAATCACGCACTTAGTTTTCTCATAATATGCCCTGTAGCATCAGAAAAATGCCATATGAACATGTAGACAACAAGGAAAACATGTTTTTCATCAGAGTGGGTCTTACACAAATCAGAGTTTTAGTGTCCTTGGGCAAGATACTAAATTGAACTGAATTGGCTTTATTGTTATTCCTCTCCAAGAGACATGACCAGGAGCATATAAAAAGCAGTGATTATTATGAATGGGCACTTTGTTTAGCAGCCTCTATGACCAGCTTATGAATGTGTATGAATGTAATATGTAGTCTAAAAGCACTTTGAGAGGTGGGAAGACTACTAAAGGCTTGTACAGTCCATTAGTCCATTTAGATTTGAGTGTTGAAATTATGGCACATTGTCGATAATTTGGGATAATAACAGAGGCTTTTTTTTTTTGCACTGAATTAGTGGCATTTTGGATTCTTGTCATTTTTATTGGTTGTGAGAAAACCTGCAGAGAACCTTGAAAGCCTCACCAAGAAAATTAACTTCATGCATCTGTCTATATAACTTCACCAGGATTTGACAGCAGATGGGACAAAAAAAGAGACAGCACATTAAAGAGCCGGGCCTGAGGCTAATCTGCCAAATGTTTGAATTACCAAAAGTGGGTAAAAAAAGATGAGAAGAAGAACCCTCGTTTGGAAAAAAAAAAAAGGGGGGGGGTTCTTTGTAAAGACGTCAAATATTGTGGTCCAAGTATGCAGGCCAGCTTACTCAAACAAAGAAATTTGCTTTGTTACTCTGTATTGACAAAATAGTTGTTGGATCCTTTCATTTTAAATCATAACACTTGGTATGTTTAAGTGCACAGTTAAGTCGAGCTACAGTCATTCATTAGACAGCTTGACTGGACTTATGTTCTTATCCCAGTTTACATTCAAAGGGTAAGAATTAAACTTTTGAGAGAAGCCTATCCACCTCAGTATGTGTTGAGTCCCCCTTGCAGCTTGCCACTGTTGGGTCATCCCCGGATTGACGTTTTACATGCCAAAAGCACCTGCGAAGCGCGTTATCAAGGGGCTAAAGGGGGTTCACTTTCACAGCTCCGTGTCATTTGTTTGGAAAATTTCCTCTTTTCAATGTTGTTTCTTTGTCTGACAAGGTTTGGTTTACTACCTGCTTTCAAGCAACGCATCAATACTGTTCAACTGTGTGAACTCTGGGCATGCACAGAACACTTCCGCCAGTTTCAGTCTGGTTAAGTGGTATACATGACTCAGAAAATTAATCTCCAACCACATCATCCAGGTATGTTTGGCCCACTATGAGAATTTTGATTTCAGTTTGATTTCAGTCAGACTACTCTGTTTACATGCCTAAAAGTCCAGTTTCTGTTAAAATGCATTAGTTTGAATTAACGTTATAAATTATATTAAGTTTGCTGTAGGAGGCAGGGTTTAGGACCTATACTGCAACCAATCACCAGGGGGTGCTGTTCTTGCAGAGGAACCATGTGACTATAATTCAAATGTAAGAACATAGGTAAGTATTTAGCAAAGAAGAGGGAGGAGAGGAGGAGACATAGAGAGGCGGTTAAAAAAACTAAGCTCTTAAACTTGATGGAAATCGATGAACTCCATCAAGAGGTGCGCCAGCTCAGTGACATGCTGAAAAGGTCACAGGAGGAGTTGGTCAAAGAAAAAAAAATAGGGGGATGCTGTTAAGTGCAGTGCTGGAGCACACAAAAAAACATGGCACAGGTCAAACCGGAAGGTGGGGACCTTGGAAGTCAGATCCTCTTGCAGGAAAACCCTACCCACCTGCTGGAACTAAGAGATCCCCTTACTGTTAAGCTATTACATGGGATCCTTTAGGCAGATATTTAACAAGACAATCCCGCCTCATCAAAGAACATCTGGGGCCGAAAAAACTGCTGTTAAATCACCAGGATAACAGTGAGGTGGATCAGGCCCCCACCTACAGTAACCCTGAGTGTATTAGGCCTAGTTCTCCACAGCACAGGAGTGTTGGACCAGAAGTCCTGACATCAGTTATAGTGTTTTCTTCTGGTGCTCAGGTTTTCCCACATCCAAATCCAAATTCAAATTTATCTATGTGGCACTTTAATCCAAAAAAAGTTGAACAAAAAAAACAAATTGTGTGTTCTTAATATACATGCTTTTACCCATATGTGAGTATGCCTGAAATAGAAATAAAAAATGTATTCACTCTCTCAGGCATACTCACATATGTATCAAAACTTGTAATGTATGTTATTCCACTGTGGCTATACCCCCAAGTGATTTAAACACAGAATTCATGGCATTTAATTCCCTGTTATTGTAATCTATTTCTATTTATGACTCTCATTCATTTCTTTATGGAGGTCACAATCAACAATCAACTTATTTGTCCTGCATTAAAATCAGTTATAATCCATGTCTATATGCTTCTCTCCCCTTTTCCAGCAAACTCATTATCAGGGACGAAAAAACATGATGTGAGGATTTGTTGTGGATGTTTTTCGAAGGAACCCAAAAGCAGATAGTGGAGGAAGTAGAAGCTTTACATGATTTTACTGACAACAGATTGTGCAGGGGATGTGAGGTCTGAGGTCCAGGGCCTTGGGAAGACCCCAGGTGAGTGAATCTGGAGTGAGATTGTGGCAGTCCTGGTAGAGGTTGGGCAGACGCTGGTGGCTGGCAGAGGCACTGGAGTAAAAAAAGAGGAGAGTGGGGATAAATCAAAAACAAGTTAACTTATTTTAATCACTTAAAGGGATATTCCAGCATAAAATTAAGTTAGGGTCAAACACACTGTAACAGACACTCTGAGAGATGAATGTTGCCGTCCGCTTGCTTCTCTGGCTATACCATGAGTTAAGGTGGTTACCACCCATGAGTCTGAGGCTCAAGCAGCCCAGTACCTGAGCTGCTGGTGTGAAAACATTCTGATGGCCGGCCCTGTAGCTTCAGCACCTGGCCCCCTGACCCCTAGGGGCCCTGGTGGGGGGTCGTCCAGGGTCCTGGACCCGAAATTGCCTCAAGGGCAATAGAGCGGGGGCCTATGAGTCGTTTGTCTGTGCCTACATAAGGCGCAATGTGAGGTGGTGGTGGAGGGCAAGCCCTGAGAGCAGTCGTGGCCCAACCTCAGCTAGGGGGAGGCCTGCTGGGTGGAGGCATGCGACGCAAACTCACGAGCTGTTGCCTGGTCTGTGCCGCCTGAATAGTCCTCTCGAGTGCTTCCTGAGCAGCTGAGCCAAACACTATTCCCCGCTCCACTGGAAGGCTCCTGAGGGTTTTCCTCGAGGCCTCAGTCAGATTTGACTGCGACAGCCAGACCTGGCGTCATGCCTGGACAATAGTGAACATCATCCGCCCTAGCTTTCGAGTCATGAGGCCAAAATGACCTGAGTGCCGCGTCACACAGGGTAATGGTGTCACCATGGACATTGCCTGCCCCTACCACTCTTGCAAGGAAGCCGAAAGATCAAGCATGAGGTGTGAGCGGGAGTTCCCAATGCAGTTACTGCGTGCCCCAGAGTCATAAGCCCTAACGAGCAGGTCATCAGTTATCCTGCACTGGGGCTGGGCACCTGGTTTCCCGGCACAGAGCCTCGGGAAACAATAAGGGATTCGATGGCTGGCTCAACAGCTGGCATATGGTCCAGGCCCACCGCCGCTGCATTATGCATGAATGCCAGAGTTCGAGCATCAACAGACATA